ACACGCTGCAGAACACAGTAACACCACCTGTTTCATCACCAGTCTGACTGGCTCCATGACATTTACACACGAGGTCATGGTTTTTACTCAAGAAACGAGTCGCCTCCTAAAAAACAGGCCACCGCTGCCGAGGCGGGTCGGGCAAGGAGGGACGCTTATATAACTGCTGCCTCTGGCTGTTACACAACCAGCGTGTTCACACAAACCTCCTGTCTCGTACACGCACACACAAACAGAGATGCAGCACGTCACAAACACGCAGAAGAGCTGGCAGACTTCATGCACACCGTGACATTTTTGTTTTTAGGCACTTCCACACAAAGTTTTGAGCGTGTCTCATCCAGGCTCACTCTGTCAGTGCTGGGGCTTTTCCAGTTCGCTCCGGCTGTTCAGAAAGCAGCTCTCGTAGTTTAACAAGTGTTCAAACTCTACAAGTTTTGGCACCAGGAGAAATGTCAGGCAGCCCGGAAACTGATGAGATGGCTGGGCGGATAAACAAAAAAAAAACAAACGAACAGATAGGTCACTGGATCAACTGGTGGGAGACAGGCTGAGAGTTTATACATGTCCAACTCATGATCCACGTGTTCAGAGGCAAAGATCAAACATTTTTTTTACTGAGCAATGAGCGATGTACTACATTATGGATTTATTCTTTGCCTTTGTATTTTATCCTTTTACTATTGTATTTTTCAGATTATAAGGCACATTAAGCAAAACAAGTTCCGTTTGACAGTTTTGAGCGCTGCGTACCACATAAAAATCGGTTCGAGGTCAGTAAGCACAATCAGAATGAATAAATAAGGCGCACCAGATTATAAGGCTCACTGTCAATTTTTGAGAAAATTAAAGGATTTTAAATGCCTTAGTCAAAAAACAAAACAAAAAAAAAACCTGTAATAAACACTTTTGATGTTTTAACTTCTATTAATGTCAAATACATTTTATATAGTGGCCAGAAATTATACAATTCTTTGCCATTTATTCCCAACACATACTTTGAGCTCAACACTGCGCAGATTATTATTTTTTGCATAAAATCTTGCCATTAACTGTTGAGGTCACCCCTGTTTGTTAGCAAAATATCTTATAAAACACTGAATAGATTTCAGTAAATCTCTCGGAAAGTCTACAACTGGTTTCTTTGAGTCAACCCAAATAAAAATGGATGCCACAGCTCAACCTTATATCTACATTAAAATGGCTAAATGTCAGTGAAGTTAACACGTATTGAGCTAAAATTACACGTGGTAGTAGCTGAGAGTCATTCACAACATATACTCCAAGCAGTAACGGATTACATGAGACATCACAAGTAATCCATAGTGAAGTTCACTTTAGATGCTTTTTTCTAAAAACCTTTTAACTTTTAGAGGAAAAAAGCCCATGAAATAAAATACAAAACATTTAACTTATACTTGTGGAGAAAGAAGGAAAGAAAGATATAATAAAAATAGAGGGATATTGTTTAAGTATGGTCAGAGACACACATATGCACACAAACAAACAGACACACACACACGTCTTATATAACGGGCTGAATTAGTTATTAGGGATGCTTTATTAGAGCGAGGCAGGTGAGTTATGAAACCCTCCTGCTGGCAGCGCGTGTGCGTCACTGAAATGAGAACGAGGCTGCTCGAGACGAGCGTGACAAAAAACCCCGAAAAGAAGACACGGAGGCGACGCTGCAACAAGTGAAAGCAGCAGAGGGTGAGGCGAGGTAGAACAGGCGGTTTGTAGGCCAGTGTGTCACCGCTGCAGAGGAGGAAGAGGAGGGTGATGGGATGAAGAGAAGAGGCAGAGAGGACACACTCAGAGCTGCCAACAATCAGCAGAGTACTCGCCAAAACTATAGCCCGTTATATAATGTTCTTTAGCTGGCAGACAGACAGGCAGGCAGACAGACAGGAAGACAGGCAGACAGAGTCCAACTTCTCCACCTAAAAATGATTTCAGAGAAATGTCACCCGGTTACAACCAGATCAGTCATTATTGTTCTATTAGATCACAAAAACTGCTTCATGTGTTTTGTTTGTGGCAACCTAAAGAGTTTAACATTCACTAAAGATCCGTGTGACGTTATCCTCATTAACGTGTCTCAAACAAGCTGGGATCTGGGTCTATAAAACATGTTTATGGCACGTCTCGATTCGATGCCAGCATAGAGACCAACAACAAACTAACACAACACCAGAGCATGTTAGAGATGAATTATCCAATTCAAATCAACGTTACAGCTGCACCAACCTTTGGTGGTAAAACTTCAACAGTTTCTGTACAAAAAGGCAAAAAACTTAAATATAGATTTCAATCACATAGACATTCTCTCTAGACACTAGCAGGAAAAGTGTTGGGCAGTTAAGTGAAAAACATTAGCTCTGAGAGATATGAGGAAATGATTGTGTAGGGATCAAGGCACTGTACATAAAAACACCTGTTCTATATGTTTGAAAGAAGTTACGAGTCCAGTTACTACATTATCACATAAATAAAACCCACTAGCTGTACATTTTTACTTTGAATTTTAAGTTCAGGTGAAACGATGTTTGTTTTGTCTTCATTTTGTCTTTAAAGCATGGATTTAAACATGGATCATAGGAAGGTGACTGAAAGTTTGGCGTCTACAAGCTACAGTAATTTCAAGACTAAGAAATTCAAGCTATAAAACGAGGTGTTATGAGACAAAAGAATGGTTGACTATGTATAAAACAAGTGGAAATGAGAGCTTCGCAGCTAGCCTGGCATAGTTCTCATCATTCATGCTCCCAGTCATAAAAAAAGGTCAAACTTTAGGTTCTTCTGGTGCTTTAATTTACTGGCTTGAACAGAATAAAAAAATAAAATAAAAAAAGAACTACACCATGAGCAGAGGCCATCTACTAAACAGACTTTTACTGAGCAGCACCAGGAACTAAATAAAAGAGCTTCTTGAACCGCAAATATGAGACTTCAGTTTAAACCTTAAATACTTGAAGAGCAGCTCATCGCAGACAAAGATGTAAAAACACACGCATGCTTCACACAATGTCTCAGAGATCCCCACACACATCGTGACAGTGCTGTCGAGGCTTTACCATCTTAGATAAACTCCAACATGTCAGCTTACAAGTAGGCATTTACATCAAAACTTCACTTACAGTTTCACACAATGCTGCATCATGTTAGGGAATGATACAGTTGAGTTTGTTCAATTTTTGGAATATAAGCTGCAAAAAAACCCCACATTTTCTTATGTTGCCTTTTTGTTTCATTATTTTGTCCACTGTATCTACCATATTTTCCAGCTTATAAGTCAGATCTTTTTGCCTAATTTGCATACCCTGCGACTTATACGCTGATGTGACTTATTTATGGATTTTTTTTCCATGTTTATAAACCACTTTTTGACTGAGATATGACAGTTTTCATTCATTCTGACGTTGAAAATATTGAACACTACCATTTTCAGCCGCTAGATGGCACTCGAGTAGTAAGGCATGCTGTTGTGTCATGCAATAGGTACAAGTGGCTATTAATGATACAATTGGCTTGCCACAGCCTGCCACCTTCAGCTCGCCTAGAGCAACCGTGAAATCAGCTTCATTTCGCTGCGCCGCCCCGGCGAAATGAAGCTGATTTGACCATTCAAGTGCATTTATTAAGTAAAAGTTCAACCAAGACACCATTGAGATAATTTTAAGCAAACAAATAATTGTTTTTAAGTGTTAATCTTGTTAAATTCTTGTTAAATGCCTCCTGTGCACGCTCCCACGGCCGCCATTTGGTAGCCAATTGATTTTTGGCACAACACCGGTCGACATTTCTGGGTTGTCAGCAGTGACACATAATAGGTGCGACTTATACGGCGAAGCGATTTATGTTTTTTTTTTTGTTCAAATTATTAAGACATTTTTGGACAGATTCGACTTCTACTCCAGTGTGACTTACAGGCTGGAAAATATGGTAAAACCAGTGTGGAATTTATTGGCAGTGGAGCTCCACCTGACTTCCAAATATCATATTGGCACATATGCTTGCAATTTATTGCAATCTTTAGCAACGTTGTGCACATAAGTATTATATATATGTGGAGACGACACAGAATCAGTATCGCTGTCCTACCAAGAACAGAGTGAACCTCAACAGATGAGATCCTGCAAGCGAGGAAAATGTTGTTGCTTTAACTTTTGTTTGTTTAAAACAAAATGATTTATAACCTTAAAGTGGATTTTTATTTTTACTCATCACTTTAATTAGTGGTAGGGAGAACATCCTCCTGTTTAAGGTTCATCTACAGTCAAGCTGCCAAAATGAACCTCATGTTTTCCTGCTTCCACATGCTCACACTTCCAGCATGGCCCAATCCTGCCTGCATCCACCAATCAGGCGCAGACGCTGCTTTACGTAATCTTACAACCAGCCAATGTGAAGGCCGGACTGGGCGGGCAACAGGAGGAACAGGCAGTGTACATGAATGGAAGAGACCGGCAACAGCATTCAGGGAGGATTGGAAAAGTAAAAGAGTCAACTAAAGAGAGAAGTATTGTTCTAAAAATGACTAAAAGAAACTAAACCGGTGACCGCAGTGAGCTGGAACAGAAAAGAGACGGTGCATGTTTAATGAATCAAGGGTTACACAACGTTAAGTAACTTAAGCATCAGTCGAAGCCTTGCTGCCTTCAACACTTTTGAAGTTAATTATCTCTTTGTTGGTATTGTAACTAATAAAGTCTCCTCTTTCTCTTTTAGTCGCCTCTGACTTGGATTCATGCGTTTTTTGCTGCAAACGGGATACAGCATGAAAGAAACGTATAAGCACTGATCACTAGTGAAGCTTCTTGTTTATTCACTTTTTAAGGATTAACACTCCCCAGGATTAATGCAACTCCTTTAATTGCCCTTCGCTTAATAGCTCTCTATTCATTCCCCTAGAAACAAGAGTTACGAGCTATAATATAAGAGTTAATACGAGTTAATATAATATCCCCAAGTCTAGTAAAACGAGTTCAGTCACCTACCTGCAAATGAGTCAGATTCATCCAGAAGCAGCATGGTTATAAAGAAAAGAGGAGCTGGTCTCTGCCTGTCACTGTTTCAGGTTGGGAGGGGGTGGACCCTTTGAAATAAAAACAGGATGTTTACTAGTCTCCTCTCCTTCTTACTTTTTACCCCGCTGGTCTTTAATCGAGTGTTTCAGTGAATAACTGACTGTTCTGTCTGCTCCTCTGTACTTAATAACGCTGTCTGTATGAAGCAGGAGGCTTGGCGAATGAAAGCTTACATAACCCTTCATGCTGGAGCTGGGGCCCTGCTGAGGGGGTGCATGCACATCACAGTCTGAGTATTTCCCCTTTAAAGAAGAAAAAGAAAAAACACGCCCACCCTAAACGCACGCAGCAGTAACCGAGCATGTGCGGAAGCAAGCACATCTACTCTCATACTGTTAAAGCAAAAACTTTCAGCTTCAAGCACAAGGCTTCTCGTTTTCTGGTCAAAAGATCAGATGACACAGATTGACATTCAAGTGCACACATGAAACCGTCAAGGAGCGGACGGTGAAGCTGTGACTTCACTAACAGAGAGAAACGTGCAGTTTTGCACACATGAAGTTACGTTCCTCCTTTTGAAATCAATAAATTTGGTCGCTGTGCTGAGTCCATCAGCTGTTGATCATGTTTAGGTACCGGTATGTAGAAGAATGAGGAGAATAGACCAATATGTCTGCAATAATCTGGTCTCCAGAAACACCATTACACAAAATTCACTGTATGCTAGAAACAAAACGTGCAGGTAGACAAATGTTGCCTTTTCCACACTGAACACGCCTACATCAAGAAGTCAAACATAAAAAATGCCCAAACCGTATTAAGAAGTCTCAAATCAAGACTTTCAAAAAAGGAAAATGAAATAAATGTCTGATAGGACAAAAAAAAAATGAAAAGTTGAATGAAACACCTCATGAATACTTTATCAATATTTGAACACAGCGAAAGTCCAGTTAAACATTTAAAGTGTAAACTCCACACTTTAAATCTTAAAAATATGCACATTGTGGTTGTGATGGGGGTTCACCCCAAGGCTGTTCAACACTTACAAGCAGTAACTTGACCATCTCCATGAACTACAATTAGCCTACAAGGGTTATCTAATCACATTTTTCGAGACGTAAGGGGACACCGTCGCAAAAAAAAATAAAAAACATTCCCTTGGATTCATTTTTCAGCTGAAGGAATTTACATTAGCTGAAAATCCTACAAAAGAATTGAGGGAAGATTAAAATTTAGTTTTGATAAGATAAAGACAAATGCCTTCAGCCTTATGTAAGGTTGACACGAAGACAAGGGTTTTATATGGAGATGATCAAGGACAACTTCTGCAGCTATTTCATAATATGGATTATGAAACTTCTGGGCTGCTCTGCCACAGCGGACCAGTACAAGATTTGGCACCGGACCACATATAGGTCAGTATAGAACCCCCACCCTTGAGTGTGCGTTCATTCTGGGATTAAAAAAAAATACACGTGACAAAAATCTGAAATCATAGGAAACTGCTGTGAGGAATAAACAACAACAAAACAGTCAATCAGCCAGGAGTCAAGATATTTCAGCTACTCACCCATGTCATGTGGCTGAAAGTTTGTCTCCTAATCAGCTGAAAGCTCCATGCCTCCTCCTGATAGTTTCACTTTTTAGAAACTTACTCCAGCTGGTGTGTGTTCCATCTTTATGAAGCGAACATTTCTTCACTTCACCTACAGAAACGAACACGGCAGAGTGTGTGTGTCTCCCAGCACATAGCTTTGTCTCGCAGTTGAACCGGCACTTCAGTGAGGACAGAGTGCCATTGGGACAATTACAAAACAATGAGTCACTGAAAACAGCCTCAGCTGGGAGGGTGTAGGAGTCCCCCCTGTTCACAGCTCTGCTGCTTTTCCTGTCCTCCTCCTCTCCCCTCCCCCTCCTGACCAACTGACACAGGAGGCAGTGTGATGTCACCAAGCCACGCCCTCTCCAGAGGAAAATGCCTTAGGTAACAGTGATAAAAAGGTTCAGTAAGGACAAGAGGGGCAGGAAGAAAGCAGAAAAACGCTAATCAGACGATCAAGAAGCAGAGAAGTGCAAAACTAACGTGCTAGTTTACAGAAGCTTGAATATCTGTCAACTGAAGTTCTTTTTGTATGAAGCCATTCACCACATTCAAGAGTTTGTAGACGGTGAAGATTACACCAACACAATGAAAAAGGAACAAACTGAAATGGTTTTATTGCAGCCATTTTCTGACTTTTAATTGTCTAAACAGTGGGTAAGAGGGGGAGGATGGAGGAAAGCTATGATTATAGGCAATCAAGAAAAAGTCTAGGAGAACAGTGAAAAATACAAATGAACAATAGAAACAGGGATGAATACAACGCTTCTGGTCAAAGCAGGTGTTGGATAATTTGATTTTGGCTTCAGTGAGCAGTATCTATACTAGTGCTATAGCACTAGAAATAATACATCTTTTGTCAAACTCAGATTTAACAGGTGTCAATCAAGAATAACCTTAAATGTTGTGGGAATGATCCCAGAAGTAATCTACGTATTTCCTGGGTATGTAGCCGCTTAAAGGTCTTCTTATTTTGTGTTACCACATATATGAACAATAACCATCCATTATCTTTTACCCACCACCTTTTTTTGGGGTCACTGGTGCCCATTTCCAACAGTCATTGTGTGAGAGGCGGGGGACACCCTGGACAGGTCGCAAGTCCATCACAGAACCACATAGACAAATAACCATTCACTCTCAGTGGTACAGCACAGGTTGAACAACTGGAAGATAAAGTTAAGGATGCCAGACTGAGATGGTTTGGACATGTCCAGAGGGACGGTGTGTATATTGGTAGAAGGATGTTAGAAATGCATCTGCCAGTAAAAAAGACAAAGAAGGCGGCCAAAGAGGAGATACATGGAAGCAGTGAGAGAGGTAGTTGGAGCAAGGACATGGGAAGCAGAGGACAGCGTGAGATGGACGATGACTCGCTCGCCGTTTGACGAAAGATGGTGTATCATTTCTCTAGCACATCTTAACACAAATAAACACATCCATCCATCATCTTCTACCTGCTTCTTCCTTTCCAGGTTGTGACTGGTACCTGGTGAGAATCCACACATGCACAGAGAGAACATGCAAGCTCCACCCAGAATGGATCCCAGCCAGGATTCGATCCGGCAACCTTCTCACTGAGAGAGGCAGAAGCTCTAACAACTGTGCCACCCCAAACACATCATAAACTGTCCAATTACCATAAACATTGACAAAAAAAATTCCATCAAACCTATAATGATGGGTTTTTTTTTTTTTAAATTAAACAGGGCTCTTTAGAAAATGGAGTCCTCGTGACTCATTGAGACTAACCTGTATAAATAAAGGTTGAATGAAAGAGGTATTGTGCAAAAATTTACATCCTACATTTAAGACAATAAAATAAGATTGAGGTGAAAATGTTGCAGAAACAGGAGGAAAGTGAAATATTCATCAAAAACAGGAGGGACAGAAAGAAAAGGAGTGATAAAAATGTGAGAATACAAAAGGGGAAACTGACAGATTCACAACATCCCTGTTGAATGAAACCCAGGACCCTTTTAAAGCCACACTGGTGGTGGAGGATTATCATTCATAGCTCAATCTACTCACATGGATAGGAGGTCAAGCCCAGGCTCACGTGACTACGCTCACTAAACCACATCAAGCCTGGGGGAGGGGCAGTGGAGTGAAAATTGCTGAGGTGGGGGAGGAGGAAGGAGGAAACAGTCTGCCTGGTAACGTAAATTCACACACATGCATTCACCTTTGCCACACTACCACAGTTTTACCATCAAGCCACGCCCCACGTGAGGAAGGAGAGCTGCATTTCCTTGTTTACATAACCTGGAATGACCAATGGACAGGACTGCATGAAAATGGCATAGGTTTTGATGGATATTTGGATGAATGGATATTTCTTACTATGTTTAGGGCTCCGATTAGAAAAAGAACATACATTTTACTTTAATTAAAGTCACAGGTCTAAATTACAAAAAAATCAAAAGCCTTTTCTTGTACAAATTATTCACTAGCAAAATTACATTTACCCAACAAATTAGGAACCAACTGTACTTGCAAATATTAAAAGTCCTAAAGTCTGGTTGACATTCTTTCTATTTAATAATATGATGAAGCAAAAATGGTTTACATTTTAATACTTTTAGATAAAGATGATGAAAAACTTCATTTTGCTGATTTGGGATGTATTGACAAGTCAAGTCAAGTCAACTTTATTTATAGAGCACATTTAAATAAGTAGCCATTTGGCCTTATTTAGACATCTCTTCAGCTGCATTGTTGTACTTTGATATTTTGTATGAAAAACAGAGTTAGATTAAAATCCACTGTTGCAATAACTCCAAGCTCTACAAACACCATGTTTCTACAATAAGCAGGCAGCAGCCGTTGGTTGGCCAACGGAGCTACGTCAATGGATGACCCACCCAGTTATTTTTTTTCCAAGTTATCTAGTTCAGTATGGAAGCTCTAAAATAGTGTCATGGACCAATGATGAGATCCAGACTTTTCTGTCTTTTTTGGCAGATCAGAGAATTTAACGTGAGCTGGGTGGCACTATAAGAAACAAGCAAATTTATCGAGATATTGGAGATGATGGCATAGCATGGCTACACCCGGACCTTTAAGCAGTGCCAGGATAAGCAAAAAAATATTGATCTAGCACCCTTCACTGAGAGGCAACAGGTTTACTGACTGTGCTGCCATAATGCCAGTCATCAAGTCAACATAAAAACAAAGCTTTTCTAAAAAATTTTTTTTGCTTTACGAAAAAATCCTTGTAAACACAGCACACTTTCTAGAAATGTCTTCATTCACACAGAAACACTGAAAACAACCAAATCACTGTAGTAACCAGGGGTAGACATAAGGAAATTTTCCAAGTTGTCCAGCGGACAACCTCTTGACAAAATGCGGTTGTCCACCAATATTTCTGGCTGTCTACAACTTTTAAGTTTGTAGCCATCCAAGTCTTGGTATCATCAAGACATTTTAGCAAAGGGCAAATGGAGTAGAAACTGTTAGGGTTTAAGGGCAGATAAATCTGAGAATCATCGGTATAACAATGAAACAAAATAGGTTTCCTCAGGATAGACCCTAATGGGAGCAGATACAATAGAAACAGAAGTGGTCCAAGAATGGAACCTTGCGGGACCCCGCAGGA